CCGGCACCCAGCAGACCCAAGGCCTTCGTGGCAGCACTAAGAGCAGCAAGCCAAGCGGTAGAAGCAGCAAGCAGGTGGGCAGTAACAAGGGAGGGGTCCCAGACTGCAAGAGGGCACATGCTGGGCTAAAGGGACCCCCCACCCATCCCCAGTGCACGAATTTCGTGCACCGGGCCTCTAGTACATATATAATTACATATGGTTTTTGTGATTAATCACTATGCTTTAATTATATTCTATTTGTAACAATGAAAATGCATCCTGCATATAAGATATTTACATTATGATTCATAACAGTAGCAAAATTATAGTTATGAAGTAGCAACAAAAATAATTTTATGGCTGGGGGTCACCACAACATGAGGAACTGTATTAAAGGGTCACAGCATTAGGAAGGTTGAGAACCACTGCCCTAAGTCAAACCCCATTGCTATTCCTATCCTGAATGTAACCTTTCATCCTACTAGTGATTTTTTTCCAATTTTTGAAGGATTCCTGCTCACCCCAATCCCACTCATTATCTCTCGAACCACAATTGGGCCTGTCCCTTGGAAAGCTCTGAGACCTGACCCACAGGTATTCCCAAGCATGACCTCTGGCCTTAAGAAGGGGGAATATCTGGACTGCTCACCTCAGGGATTATTTCCATTTTCTGTGAACCAGACACAATATATCGGGAACCTATGCGGAGCGGAGTCAGCGGGGGTGGCTTGTGTATTCGCACAAACTGGAACTTCTTTTTTTCATTATCTACGGCCTAAGGAGCATAAAGAACACTGATCAAGGGAGGAGGGCAACTTTGTCTTCCTCAGAGATTCCACTCTGTGGACTCTGATCTGAACAAAGTGAAGTGGGGCTTTCACGTGTTGATGTTGGTGGGGGGGCTATACCACCATGAACTCTCCCTCCCCTGTCCCCCATGACTGCTACAGAAATCCCCCCACTTGTCCAGAGCTATGTTCAGGGTGGGAATTTGGGCATTGATAGAGAAGAAATGAGAATGGAGAAGTGGGTACACCTCTGTGGATGGAGCCCTCCCATCCTTCTGACTCCTGGAAAAAGATTGCAAAAGGGTGTCCAGCAATGAGTAATGGACCAGTGAGCCCAGTTGGGGGAGGTCTAAGGGACCTACAAGACTAGTGTATATCTTATCCTTACAACCACTTGACCCATCCAGGGGGCTTTCTGGATGCATGTTATGTATTTGTCAGCCCACTCTGGCCTGACTTTCTGGCTGTTGGAGTACCTTCTCAATGGTGCAGTCGCTGGGGAGTAGGTAGAGGTGGAAGTTGACTTCCTCAGGATGGAGGCGATGGTAGAGCAGCACATTGGAGATGACAGGAATGTTCAGGAGAGTGTGGACCTTTCTCAGTAGAACTCCCATGGGGGAGAAGCTGGGGTTCTCAAGGACTGTGTAACGTGGCTCCACCCTGGTTGGCTTCTCCAGAAGTATCCCATCCTCTTTAAAGTGGGCTACTTGGAACCATGAGATGTCCACATGTTCCTCTGTGAAAAAATGGATTTGAGAGATGAGTACTTAGTGCCCTCACTGAGTCAGGCTTGACTGAGACAGTGTGGTCCTTGGGCAGAGGTTCAGTGGCCTTTTGGGGGGACCCAGCAGGGAAGGCAGTGTGCCGGTGTCTGGGGCTTTTTGGGGTTGTGGTCAATAGGTTCTCTCCAGTTGGAGCACCACTGGAATCTTCGTAAGCCAAACCTATACACACCCCCAGGTCCTTGAGCTGGGTAAGATAATGACCCCATGGTTAGCTGTGTTACTGTGCATTCCATATCTTTGAGAGTCATTGAGTAATGCTGGCAGGTGTGACTCCAGGCAGATAGAAACAAGGAGAAAGAGAGTCGGAAATGGAGTGACCAAGGTAGTGTACATTTGTCGTGTTTGGTCACCCACCATTTTCAGATTCTTCTTTTTGTGAAGAACCTCCTCCTCCATCATTGTGTGGGTCTTGGCTAAATACAAGCTGGGCCTCCCACTTGGGAAGCTTGTGACACAGGTTGTGACCAAGACTTGACCAAGTGGATGCTTCTAACCAGGGCCTGGATCTAGAGGTGATGAAGCACAGATGAAAAGACAGATTCTTTTGGCAGCAGCAATGGGGTCAAGAGACCAGCAGCCTCTATGGCAGGAGGGCTCTTCAGTGGCTGTGTCTGCCCTAGAGGTCTCTCTCTCTTTTTCTTGTTTAGACCTTAGCTGTGTTCTTGTTTTCTCAACAGTCTTTGGTCACTGCCTATTTTTGTCTTTTCTCTGTAAGACTTGTTGCCTAATTGTTTCTTAAGTCTATGAGCTACTCAATAATCTTCTTATACATTCCTTTTATGTCCAAATCAGCCTTAGTCTGCATGGTCACCAATCAGCACATGCAGATTGATTTAATACTAGAAGGAGCCTTGGAGACTGTTACTTAACTTTACTAACTTATTAAATGCTTAAAAACATTTTTTAAAATATATTTTTTGTTACTCCTCATCCAAGAATATTTTTCCCATTAATTTTTAGAGAGAGACTGCAAGGTAAGGTTAGAGACAGAGAAAGAGAAACATCAGTGTGGGAGAAACACATCAATTGGTTGCCTCCCACAGTTGCCCCGACTGGGGCTGGGGATTGCAACTGAGATACATGCCCTTGACCAGAATCAAACCTGAGACCCTTCAGTCTGAGGGCTGATGCTCTAACCACTGAGCCTAATGGATTAGGGCTATTAATTACTTTTTTTGCATGAAAAATAGTATCATGGTGGTGTATACCACCTGACAAAATACAGAAGTATTTACATCTGATATCACTAAACAGTACAACTATTATTTCCTTCTTTCCCTTTTCCATTAGTCTTTCTCTGTAGCAGCACCTTTTTGTGTTTCCATTTTGGTCATGTAGCTTTGTCTCCTGCCTTTCCCACACTGATTAAAATTGTCACAAGCACCTATGGGCCTTTCTAGTGACTGCAGTACATGATCCCTGCTGTGGATGCAGCATCCCTCGCTCACCGCTTTCTTCTGGTTTCAGCGTTGAGGTTGCTTCCACCTTTTCACCGTAATAAATAGTCCTGCGATGCACATGTTTCTGCAGAGAACTTTTTTATTTCTCTTGAGCTACTACCTCAGATTGATAAGTCCCTAGGAATGAGAACAGGGTATGAAAGGATGTGAGCAATTCTATGACTTGTCAGGTTTTGCCAAATTGCTTCTCCATGAAGTGGTGCACTTTGCATTGTTTTGGTGACACTAAGTGGATGTTACATCATCCTCCACAAACTGAAATATTCTCATGTGTTAGTTGGGTGAACTGAAGCCCCTGGAGGGAAGTGCTTTTCAGAAGGTCACATATCACCTACAGCCTTTGGGTGAGATCTCTGCTCTCAGAGCACAGTTTGCAGCACTACAGACACTCTGTGCCTGAATTCTGTTTCATTTTCAAAATGATGATGATGATGATGATGATGATGATGATGTGTGTGTGTGTGTGTGTGTGTGTGTGTGTGTGTGTGTGTGTGTCTGAATTTTGGAAAGTGCTGTGTCTACATCCAACTTGCCTTCTTGCTAGGGTGACCCATTGTCCTGGCTATCTCACACCTCCCCACCACTGGTTTACTTCTGAATCTTCCCTAGTTATCCTTCCCTACTGACCCTGTCTACCAAGCCAGGTGCCCTTGGACCCTGGAGTCTCTCCTATTGGGACTGGCCTCCTGTGCCTGTGCTCTCCTTCTAATGGGCAGCTTGAATTGTTTACTTAATCTTGTGGTCTCAACAAATGAGCCTTCTCTGGGTCTGTTTTACTTTTCTCATTCTATTTTTTTGTTTCTACTAATTTGTAAATTATTATTCTTATATACATATATATTTTTTGACTGAGGACCTAATATTTTAGTGTGTGTGCTTAAAATCTAAAGTAAACCGCAGTTGGCCTGGAGATCAAGTAGTAATTACCTACAACAATCAAGGCTTGACTACAAGACTGCTCACAGAGACCACAAGGGGGTGCACCAAGAGTGTCTACCTCAGGTAATTGGGACACTTAACATGGAAAGCCACTCTATCGACACAGCGAAGCATAAAAAAATGCCAAGACAAAGAAACAGGCCACAAAGGACAGACCAGAGGAAAGCAGGCTACTGGATATAGAATTCAAGACCACACTTTTGAGGTCTCTCAAGAGGCTTCTAGAGGCTGTCGATAAACTTGATGAGATGTACAGGAAATCTAATGAGACCCTCGATGGTGTGATAAAGGACCAACTAGAAAGTAAGCATACACTGACTGAAATAAAGAATATTATACAGACTCCCAACAGCAGACCAGAGGAGCGCAAGAATCAAGTCAAAGATTTGAAATGCGAGGAAGCAAAAAACACCCAACCGGAAAAGCAAAATGAAAAAAGAATCCAAAAGTGTGAAGATAGTGTAAGGAGCCTCTGGGACAGCTACAAGCATACCAACATCAGAATAATAGGGGTGCCAGAAGATGAGAGAGAACAAGATATTGAAAACCTATTTGAAGAAATAATGGCAGAAAACAGATTTACAAGTCCAGGAAGCGCAGAGAACCCCAAACAAAAGGAATCCAAAGAGGACCACACCAAGACACATCATAATTAAAATGCCAAGAGCAAAAGACAAAGAGAGAATCTTAAAAGCAGCAAGAGAAAGAAACTCAGTTACCTACAAGGGAATACCCATAGGACTGTCAGCTGATTTCTCAACAGAAACTTTGCAGGCCAGAAGGGAATGGCAAGAAATATTCAAAGTGATGAATACCAAGAACCTACAACCAAGACTACTTTATCCAGCAAAGCTATCATTCAGAATTGAAGGTCAGATAAAGAGCTTCACAGAAAGGAAAAGCTAAAGGAGTTCATCACCACCAAACCAGTATTATATGAAATGCTGAAAGGTATCCTTTAAGAAGAGGAAGAAGAAGTAAAAGGTAAAGATACAAATTATGAACAACAAATATGTATCTATCAACAAGTGAATCTAAGAATCAAGTGAATAAATAATCTGATGAACAGAAAAAAAAAATAAAGTAAACCAAGGCCTGTACCTGGAGGTGATACTGAATGGAATTTACTGGAAGTGTGCTATAATCCTATATAATAAAAGGCTAATATGCAAATTGTCCCCTTGGGAGTTTAACTGGGAGACCAGGAGTTCGATCACTCACTATGATGTGTATTGACCACAAGGGGGTGGCGTGGAATATGGTGGGCGACCAACAGTGGTGGTGGGGCGCTGAGAGATCAAGGGAAAGAGGTGGGGAGGTGGGGAAGTGGAGAGGTGGGGATGCAGGGAACCAAATTGACACTGATCACTGCCCAGGCCTAGGGACCTACCCATGCAAAATTTTCATGCACCGGGCCTCTAGTTTAATATGTCAATCTATACAGATATGCATTGCTGAACTATGGGAATGTGGTCTGAGAAATGCATCTTTCAGCAATTTGATCATTGTGCGAACATCATAGAGTCCATGTACACAAACCTAGATGGTGTAGCCTACTACACACCTAGGCTATATGGACTACCACCAATGTATATGTTTTCTGTCATTGACCAAACCATTGATATGTGATATATGACTGTAAAAGAAACATTACAATTATATCTCTCTTTATTATCTAAATGAACTATACATATCATAAAAGTA